CTATATATATATTATGAGCAACTAGTATTGTTCTACCTGAAAAGTTAATAGCTTGAACTGAAAAAGTTTATAGCTAGCATTTGGCTTAATTTCATGATTGTTTGGCTCAATTTCATGGTTGTTGAGGATGTCAACTTGTAAATCTTCCATAAAATATCGCGAAATTTTATTTATTTCGTGACTCCCGTAGTTCACAGAGACAATAGTTTTGAGTATGTAGACAGATTGGACATCTAGTTTCAATTAGAATATTGAATCTTCTAAGATTATAAGGGAATGGAAAAATATTGTGCAAGTATTTTCAAAGAAACAATCTAATCTGGGGTTTTTGTTTTTGAATGCCAGGTGGAGAAGGTTACTGTTTGGCTAGTAGTTATAAATTCTCATACAGACTTGAGGGTAAATTTCCCACTTTGAGGGTGGCAACAAGATGAGGTTATCATTGGCATAAAGGTCAATTAACTATTTACCCAGTCATTCATCATCGAGCATAGTTACTTCCGATCCACACATTAGATTTGGGTTGTTTGGGGGCTATGTTCCAATTCCTAGGTACCTATGGTGAATATATAGAGCCCATAGACAATATTGTTATTTCCAGTTTCACCAGTATTTAAAAATAATAGCCCTGTGGGTGTCTTCTAAAGATCTAATGTTAAGACCCCCCTCTTCAAAAACCTTACACATTAAGTTTTGCCCATTTCCTCCAATGATATTTGTTACTTCCTTTTGAACTGTCCAATAAAAAGCTGGCCATAATTCTCTAGTCTCTACAATATGTGAGTGATTTTCTTGGGACGGGAGGATACTGCTAGTTGATGATTAGGAATGACAGAGTAAGTGCTTAATTAGGATAAGTCTGCCATTTTGGGAAAACATTCTCTTCTTCCATAAGCTGAGTTTACATTCAAAATCCTCAATAATATTGCCACACTAAGAGAGTCTTGTTATGCCCCTATGAATAGCAGCACTGAGATATCTTATGGGAAGATGAAAAGATTTAATCTCAAGTATATTCCTTGTGCTTTCCTTTCTCCCCGCTCCCACGTATCCATTTGCCTACTCTAAATCCACTTTAATGAAGATTTGTTCACTGAGCTGAGGCTGCTTCAAATGTATTTAGAAACCTTTTAAAGGCATGGAAAGAGTAGGAGGATCCATTTGGGAAAAGAAGCAAGTAGTCCGCAAAAGCCAAATGTGAAATGTTTGGAACACCTTTAGCAACTTGATAGGCTCCTACTTTATTTTGTGTTATAAATGTATTTAGACCCCTCAATAAAGTCTCATAAACCAATAGAAAACAATAGGAAGAGAGGATTTTATTATTATACATGAGAACCAAGATCTACACATCACACAACATATTTGATAAAAATCATATACAAGTTCATATATGTGAACTTACATGATGGGAAGCCAATCCTTGGTAAACCATGATTTGTTGATGAAGAAGCCATTGTTGTCCTTGTGGTGAATGGATGGGTAATCCCTTTTAGGACAATAATAGATGGAGTGAAATTTAGGGAGTTGTGTTTCTCTCCTAGGCTTATGGTGTTGTTGTACGTATGTTTCAATGAGAGGGAGAAAGGGTATTTATAATGAGAATACTCAATAGTCACAACTCTTCATTCTTGTCCTAAAGGGTGTTACCACAATGGTACCCCTTAAGTATTATTTCCATCAAATAATACATAAATATATATAATGCATAATTATATATACAATACATAAATATAGAACACATATTAATATTGGTCCTAAGGCCATATTAAATGGAAATAATCCAACATTCTCCCACTTGGCCGGGTGACCAATAATCATTAAGTTGGCCGAGTATGTGTTCTATATACCCAATATCTATACTATAATAGAGAAGTACAATCACACACATCTATGTAGATATGGGACCCCCACTAATCATATTATATCACATGTATTAGGACTTTAAGGTCATTAAACATAAATGATCAAATGTAATGTGGTAATTAATATTAAGTTGTCTATGATACCAAAATCAGTGCGCACGGTATACACATAATAGACAATTAAGAATTCAAGTATTTATTTATATACATGAATTGGTCATAAGAGCACTATGCCAATTAAGTGAGGTCTCGACTAAAACCCATTTTCATCACATGTTCTTGAAAAATCTTGGGTGGTAGACCTTTTGTCATCGGATCCGCAAGCATATCATGAGTGCTAATGTACTTGATACAAAGATTATTTTCTTCCACTCGTTCACGTACAAACAGGAACTTTGTATCGAGATATAATCCAGCCCCACTCGAACTATTTCCATTTGAAAAGCTCACGGCTGCAGAATTATCACAATAAATCTTCAGTGGTCTCGAAATGGAGTTTACTACCTTGAGTCCTTTAATTAGATTCCTCAATAGCATTCCGTGACATGTTGCATTGTAAACTGCAACGTATTCCGCCATCATAGTTGAGGTGGTAGTCAATTCTTGTTTATGACTCCTCCATGATATCGGCCCACCTGACATCATAAAAACATATCCCGATGTCGACTTCTTATCATCTTTGCATTTAGCAAAGTCAGAATCGGAAAATCCCACAACTTCCAAAGCATTAGTTCTTTTATAAACAAGTTTGTAATCTTTTGTCCCTTGAAGATATCTTAAGACTTTCTTAGCGGCTTTCCAATGATCTAGGCCAGGGTTAGATTGATACCTGCCTAGCATGCCAGATATATAAGCGATATCAGGACGAGTACAAACTTGAGCATACATCAAACACCCTACTACTGATGCATAGGGAATTAGTCTCATTTGCTCCTTTTCTTCTTCAGTTTTTGGACATTGAAATAAACCAAAAACATCTCCCTTAACTACTGGAGCAACTGATGGGGAACAATGTTGCATATTGAAACGTGCAAGGACACGTTCAATGTACGCCTTTTGAGACAACCCTAAAGTCCCATTGACGCGATCTCGGTGGATTTCTATGCCTATTACATAAGAGGCTTCCCCAAGATCCTTCATGTCAAAATTACTTGAAAGTAACCGCTTTGACTCATGCAACATATCTAAGTTGTTACTTGCCAACAAAATATCATCAACGTAAAGTACTAGAATGGCAAACTTGCTCCCACTCATTCTCAGATATATACATTGATCCACTTGATTCTTTATGAAGCCATTTTTCTTGATGACTTCATCAAACTTCAAGTACCACTGACGTGATGCTTGTTTGAGCCCATAAATTGATTTCTTAAGTTTACAAACTAGGTGTTCTTGTCCCTTAGGCTTGAAACCTTCTGGTTGGGACATGTACACATCCTCATGTAAGTCTCCATTAAGAAATGCTGTTTTGACGTCCATTTGATGTAATTCTAAATCAAAATGAGCTACTAAAGCCATGACAATTCGCAAGGAATCCTTTCTCGAAACCGGTGAGAAAGTTTCTTGATAGTCAATTCCTTCCTTTTGGGTATAACCCTTTGCAACCAACCTCGCTTTATAACGTTCAATGTTTCCTTTCGGGTCAAGTTTGGTTTTGAAGACCCACTTGCATCCTACGGGTTTAACACCCTTAGGCAATTCGGCAAGTTCCCACACATTGTTTTTGCTCATGGAATCAAGCTCATCAATCATAACTTCATTCCAATGAGATGATTGGGCGCTCATAATAGCTTCATTATACGTCATGGGATCATTACATTTTCCTAAGTCACTAATGACCTCATTAAGGTATATGACGTAATCATCAAAATTAGTAGGGCGTCTAGATCTATTAGATCTCCTTAGTGGCGGTTCAGGCTCATGAGATTCTTCTTGAATTTCCGGAATTGAATTGCCTTGATTTATGTTGTCATTTGCCTCAAAATTTGATGTGCCTTCATTATGTGGTACATTTGAGGCAATATCACCCTCAAGAGATGCATTAGGCATAATAGGGATTGGTATAACCGTCGTACTCTCCTCCCCCATCTCTTGGAGATCAACAACATTAGGTGAAGAACTCCCACTCATGTTAGAGTTCTCTAGGAACTCAGCATGTCTTGTCTCAACAATGCGTGTACTATGTGAAGGGCAATAAAATCGGTATCCCTTTGAACGTTCGGGATATCCAATAAAAGAACAACTGACGGTTTTCATGTCAAGTTTTCTTTGTTGGGGATTATAGAGTTTAGCTTCAGCTGGACATCCCCATACCTTGAGATAGCGTAAACTTGGTTTTCTTCCTGTCCATAATTCATAAGGAGTTTTAGAGACAGATTTTGAAGGAACCCTATTCAAGATATGAACTGCCGTTTTTAATGCTTCTGTCCATAAGTATTGAGGCAATTTGGAGTTAGCCATCATACTCCGCACCATGTCCATAAGAGTTCTATTTCTCCTCTCGGCAACGCCGTTCTGTTGAGGAGTACCTGGCATGGTGTATTGGTTCACTATCCCATGTTCTCTACAAAATTCAAAGAAAGAACCAGGAGATTGACCAATATCGGTGTGTCTACCATAGTATTCACCGCCTCTATCCGATCTCACAACTTTTATCTTTAGGTCAAGTTGATTTTCAACTTCGGCCTTAAAAGTCTTAAACATATCAAGTGACTCGGATTTCTCCTTAATCAAGTACAAGTACATATATCGTGAGTAATCATCAATAAAGGTAATAAATGATCTATGTCCGCCAATGCCTTCGGGAAAAGGTCCACAAATATCAGTATGTATTATTTCCAACAACCTTGAGCTACGTGTGGACCCTTTCTTATTCCCTTTTGCCAATTTTCCTTTTATGCATTTAATGCATGTATTGAAATCTGAGAAGTCTAAAGGTGGTAAGACTCCATCTTTTATGAGACGTACCATCCTATCTCGGGAAATGTGGCCTAAGCGTTGATGCCATAATTTAGACGAAGTTTCCCCTTCTCGTTTCCTTTTGCTCACACATTCATCAATATTGCAGGATAGTAAGAACTCCATAAAATGATTATCAAGAGACAATTTATAAAGATAATCATCCATACAACCATAGCCAACAACATTATTATTGAAACTTATAGCAACATTATTGTATCCAAACATAAAAGTGTAGCCATCATATGCTAACTTTGATACAGATATTAAGTTTCTGGTAATATTAGGAACATAAAGAATGTTTTTAAGGCTTAAACTATGACCACTTTCTAACATTAATGAAAGTGATCCTACAGCTTCAACATTTAAGTCTTCACCATTCCCCACTTTAATTGTCCTTTGGCTTTGGTGCAGTTGTTGGATTGTATGGAATCCCTGCAAAGAATTTGTGACATGAACCATGGAACCAGAATCAAGCCACCATGAGTTAGCAGGAACATTTATATTAAAAGACTCATAGATCATAAACAAATCATGACTACCTTTCTTTGCAAGCCATTCTTTGAACTTGGAACAATCTCGTTGATAATGTGCTTTCTTATGACAGAATTTGCAACGAAGTTGTTTCAAAGCCCCCTTTGAGCCAGGCGTTGCACTTGTACTTGCCTTAGGAACCTTTGAACTCTCTCCAACTTGAGACTTACCCTTCCTTTTGAATGAGCTTGAAGTAGTGGTGACATGAGCAACATCCGGTTTCTCAACTTTCAGGCGTTCCTCCTCTTGCACACACATGGCTATCAACTCACTCATTTTCCACTTTTCCCTTTGAGTGTTGTAGTTGATCTTAAAAGGGCCAAACTGTGTGGGAAGAGAAGTCATGATGAAGTGGACGAGAAAGCCCTCACTTATCTCCATATCCATGCCTTTGAGCTTATTTGCCATATCACTCATCATCATAATGTGCTCACGCACACCACTAGTACCATTGTATTTTGTGGTCAACATCTTCAAGATCAGTGTACTTGCATGAGCCTTGGAGGTGCCCTTAAATTGTTCCTCGACCGAGTCCATGTATGTCTTTGCGTTATCCGAATCAGGGATAGCACCGCGAATTGCTACTGAAATTGAGTTCTTGATTATCATTAGCGACATACGGTTTGACCTCTCCCAAATTTCATGAAACCTTTTCTGCTCATGAGTTGATTCAGCAGTCAAAGGTTCAGGGGGGTCATACCTCAAAGCAAGGTCGAGGTCCATAACTCCAAGGGTGAGCTTAACATTGTCTTTCCATGAGGTGAAGTTAGTGCCGGTAAGTGGTTCAATTCCATAATTCGAAGTAACAGTGGATGCTAAGGAGTATAAAGAGTTAGACATATGCGTAAAAGAAACTATATAGGAATAAAGGGATTTAATCAGGATATTTAAAATGTCATATAATTAAACCTATTAATAACACCAAATAATAGGTATACTAATGTCTTGCTTGATTTTTAGTTTCGCGTTGGCTATCACTAACAATTATGCATACTGACGCATAACAAGTTAAACTACGCCACATAAACATTAAAATCACCTTTGGGCAGAATCATAATGTTCATGCACTTAGGCTAATATATATACAATGATTAATTACACTATCAAACAACTAGCCTTTGGGTTCATTGAATAATAATGCAAAAAAAAAATCACTTATTAAGCTCTAGTGAAATAATCAAGAGCATAGAAAATAAAATAGCTTAACCATTTTACTAATAATGGTAAAAAAAAATATTTATGTTTACTCTAATATCTTCCGTTGGGCCGATATTAGAGGTTACTGATACTTTAATTTGATTTGTTTAAAAGCAAAGGTAAGTACTACGTACATACCGGCAAGATATAATCTTGGGCAGTATACACATCATTTTTCCACACTTACTAATGATTTGAAATTAGGAGTGTGAATATATCATGAGTATCATGCAATTACATTTAGATGCACATATATATTCATGCAATTATGCACTATGTGTGTATATGCAGGGAGGACATACCACCGCCAGTAGCCTTATTTTGTGTGATTTACGCATCATGATGTATGATTCACGTTATAACATTATTATTATTATTATTATTTATATAAAATTATTATGTACAACGTAACAAACACCACGTGATTTGGTTGATTAAAATTATAAATTGTACCCAACTGTGAACCGTCATAACTTTTGGATATAACCGTCATAAAATTGTAGGTAACCGTCACAATTGAACGGTAAACGCCACAACCCATCGGCCGTCGTCACAGCCCGCCGGCCGCCGTCACAAAAATGATAACCACCGATTAACGGCAGAAGAAAAAAAAAATATTAAAATGAAAACTGCCGGGCGGCAAAACAATACAAGAAGAGACGATGTCTTCGGCAAATTTCTCCGTATTTCCAAGGATGATTTTCATTTCACAACATGATCATGATGATGGAATTTAATCATGATTACATTATGACATTATTATCATGATATGGAATAAGAGTCATACGGTCATACCAAAAGGTTAAATCACAATTCCAGATTAGAAAAAAAAATGATCTTCAAACCATATATACATACGATCAGTTTATGTATAAGATAATAAATAAACAGAGTGTGGCGCCGAGTTTATGACTTCAGTGGTTTCCAGAAAAGATTTTTGTATTTCAATCATGAGTGCGAATGGTAATCCCAATTAAACTCGTCACGACCGTAGAGTATTAGTGTCATTAAACTACGTTTACGTATATGAAGGGTAATAAGTGCGTGATGTTATACGAAATCTCTGATACCACATGTTGATTATTATTATACATGAGAACCAAGATCTACACATCACACAACATATTTGATAAAAATCATATACAAGTTCATATATGTGAACTTACATGATGGGAAGCCAATCCTTGGTAAACCATGATTTGTTGATGAAGAAGCCATTGTTGTCCTTGTGGTGAATGGATGGGTAATCCCTTTTAGGACAATAATAGATGGAGTGAAATTTAGGGAGTTGTGTTTCTCTCCTAGGCTTATGGTGTTGTTGTACATATGTTTCAATGAGAGGGAGAAAGGGTATTTATAATGAGAATACTCAATAGTCACAACTCTTCATTCTTGTCCTAAAGGGTGTTACCACAATGGTACCCCTTAAGTATTATTTCCATCAAATAATACATAAATATATATAATGCATAATTATATATACAATACATAAATATAGAACACATATTAATATTGGTCCTAAGGCCATATTAAATGGAAATAATCCAACAGATTTCACCTTATTTAACTTCCCTTTCAGGCTTAAAGAAATAAAAAATCTGCCCGTTGATCAGAACAGAGAGATGGTGGATCTAAGGTAAGAAACTTTATGGTCAAACCCAAACTTTTTTAGTATGGCCTCCAAGAGATTCAATCAAAGACTTTGATCTTATCAAATTTGATGGAAAAATCTTTGCCTCTCGATAATTTTGATCCTGCATAACTTTTTAATTACCTATATATACCCCTGAACTCTCTTATTTTGAACACATCTTCATCATATCCACAAACGTATTTCGTTCCTCTTAATTGAGTTTTATGAAGAGTTTTCTAGGTCTTCAAAACTAGATTTTCGTAAAAAAATTGCTCATTTATGTGAAACCTAGTGTGATCTTATATAGGAGCCTAGCAAACACAGGTTCTTACAACAGGTCGTGCATGTGAGCACATTATGCAGACTTCTAATTGGATTGAACCAATGATGAATTCAAATTATTTTTAAAGTATCATGTTTCTAATATGTGGGTCAACTTTAGTAATGGATGAAGTCTTCCATCAATCTAATAAGGCCCACATAGTAAACTGGATTGTCCAATTAAATCTCTAGTTCTTATATTGTTACATATAATTACAATCTACATTAGATCCGTGTCATTAATTATGTCTCCCTTTCACACCTTCTAGAGAGATATTTTGTTCAAATTAACTCACAACTTCTTTTATCGTCTCAAACCTTGTTAGAGTTTCAATCACTCGATTGTCTTGATACGAAAATATGAGCTGCAGTGTTCTAAATTAAACAAAGTCATGCTCAAATTTGAATGATAATTGCACCAAATCAATTCAGTACAAGATATATAATTTAGAAGATGGTAAACTTATTGTTGAAATTATAAAAGATATGAGAATAATAATAATAATAATAATAATAATAATAGATCCCCATTATATCTTTATTAAATATGAGATTATATATAATCTATAGACTACCAAGTCATATAACACATGGACAATCAAAATAATAGTAATTCTATTTGCACAAAAAACGAGTCCCATATTTGTCCACTTAAATCATATTTTATGTTTATTTAGTGTTATGATTTATATGTATATGCAATACTTATTGTGAATATACTGGTGTCATTGTCACTTAAATGTGAACAAAAAAAATTATTGAGCGCACACAAGATCATGATCAACGAGTTAGAAGTGAAGAAGACATCTCAAAGATTTGCCGTCAACAACGAGCTAAAAGGCTTCATTAATGTTGGCAAAAGGCATTTCATGGGTTATGAATTCGTCGCGCTTCACCACCCCTTCCATGCATTGTTTCACAAACTTAGACAAATGCAATCCTTCGCCCATGAAATAACTTCATTAGGTGGAATGACAACATACTTATATTCGAATGCACTTTACAACATTCTTTCTAAAGTAGGCATACTTATATGATAACAGCGAATTAAGTGACAGATTGAAAATAGTAGAAAGACTTATTTGACACTTTTCTTTAAAACAAAATAACTAAAACCTTTAACATAACAAGCTTTAAGATAGCAAAACAAAGATAAAGAAGTTTAGCTTCTCATTTGGAGCTAAACATGAAAGAAATATAAAAAAAAATACTTAATCTGAGCTGAAATTTATGATATGAAAGAATGAATATCCAAATGTAAAGGCAAACAAAATCCAAATGTAAAGGAAAAGAGATGTATTTATAGGTGTTTAAAGGGTGCAGGGTCGGATACTCGACCGAGTTTCTAGGATACCCGACCGGGTTAAGTAAAAAATCCGACCTGGTTTCGGTTGGCAGCTTCCTAATAGTTTCATATATAAGTTCTTACCCTACCAGATTTTGTTCCAATCCCACCGGGTTTCGTACCAGCACATATCTTCATCACTCTTTTTGCCTTATTTTGGTAGCTATAATACTTGTCCACATCTCTTTACAACAAACTTACACAAAAAGTACAAACTACACACAAGTAATGAAATCTAAAAACTATACTCTATAATAAGTAGAATTAGTAAAAAAGACTAACAAACAATAACAAAATAACTAAATTATGCACAAGGAAATCGTGCATATCAGCACATGAATATGTGCGCACTACATTTCAACAAGAATACTATTTTTACCTACGTGAAGAATGTTTTTCTTTTTTCTTTATGTTTCTCTCTATATATATATAAAAAGTACTTATTGTGGATATTTATAAAGGCGACACTTTCATTTGAATGTGGAGATTTTAAATTTCCGATTGCGTGCTGGATTGATTATGAACAAGGTTAGAGGTGAAGAAGACATCTCAAAGATTTGCCATCAACAAGCAACTGGAAGGCTTCATTAATGTTGGCAAAAGGCATTTCATGGGTTATGAACTCGTCAAGCTTCACTGCCCCTTCCGTGCATCGTTTCACAAAGTTAGGGAGCTGCGACTTTCCCTTGAAATCACCGAACACAGACGCAACAATTCTTCGGCCATCAAATAACTCCATTGGATGGAATGGCAACATCCTTGGACTCGGATGGATGCCCAACATTATGGTCAATCCCCAACCCTGTAATATACATATAATATTTTTTTAAGATTCAAGTATATTGAGTTAGAGCCCATTTGGTGTCGTGTTTTCAGCTTATTAGTCCTACAAGTCAACTTTCTCGCCAAATGTGTAACTTTTGATTCCGCATGCTGAATTGTATAACAATCAAAATAAGTAAGATCAACATTACTTTTATGACTGAATTGAATGATGCTACAATAGATAACAATTCAAGTTATTTCAGCCAATTTCAGTAGTACTAAACAGGCTCAATATCTTACAACTTAATTAAGTAGAAGAGGCGAAGATTGTTAGATCACTTACATCGATGGTGGACAAAAAAGCCTCCCTAAGAACATCCACATTTCCAGCACACTCAAAGCTATAATTCACCCCTCCTCCTGTCATTTCCCGAATTTCCTACACCAATTTCATACCCATATGTTGTTAAGCCAAAATAAGCAAAAAATATTGTGTACACACATGATGTCGTATATATACGGAGTATATGAGTACTTGAAGTAAAAAATTGAATGAGGAAATTCATGTTCAGTTAAAACACATTAACTGCACGAAAAAAATCATTTGAATATTCACAGGAAATTATCACAGTTTTATAGTTTTGGATTTTCTGGACAGCATAAATGTGAAAGTCTCTTTTTTATTTGGTTTGTTTGATTAAGATGTACTCCGTAATTTTTAATTATTAGTAGCAATCCTGCAATGTTGGCTAAAATAAAAACTACTCCGTATTTTAACTGGAAATTTTCCTGACCCGTGGCATATACCTTTCAATACACAATGAAGGAGCAGGGCAGATGGTGATGGTTGTTTGGGGCTTTGGGCTAATGAACTAATGATTGAAATTCTTGTAATGAGTATTAATTGTAAATTCTGTAATTGGTTGCTTAACTTATTGTGAAGTATTAACGATATTTTGTTAAATTTGATATTTTGAACAATAGAAATTATTTTGAATATCGGGCTTCTCATTGTCTAAGTAAAAAAATTAAAATCGGAACCATGGGGTAGGCCAAATCGGGTGACTAAGCAATGATTGGTTGATGATGACCATTTATTAGACCATTAGATTAACTTTAAGTATGTTTTTACTTGCATTAATTTCAATTCCACACGGCATCAAACCAGACTTAAATACATAACACTAGATCAGATCAGACATAACCAAATCAGACTTCTATAGTTATAAAATACACAGAGATCAGACAATTATCAGACCAGACTAGTTCTGACTAGATTTAAACAGACCAGATCAATAAATTTCAATCCAAAAGTAAAACATCTAAGAAATCCTGCTTGCAAGAGTCGTGCCAATCGAGGGGTCTATAGTGTTTGACTTCACGGATTGAGAAAATTAACTAGAAAGAGATAAAATACGTAGTAATGGTTTACAACTACCAATAGGGAAATTAATTGTCCAAAATAGAAGTTACTCCGTAATAGTTTTGGAATTCACTAGGAAGATCCTCAATTAGGTTCGATCGAATGACGGTTTCTGTCAGACGGCTTGACAGCAATGCCACTCCAATATAGGTATGGCCTCGGTTCGGGCCGCCCGGCCCGAGACCGACCCGGCCCGCTACTGTGCGGGACCGGCCCGGCCCGGTTTTCCGGTTCCGGGTCCGGTTCGGGCCTAGGCCCGGGGGCATGGGCGGTTCCGGGCTCGGTTACAATTTTTGGCGAACCGGCCCGGTCGGGTCGGGCCCGGGTCCGGGCCAAAAACTGTTTTTTTTTTTTGTTTTTTTCATTTTTTTGGGCTTTATTGAGTTGGGCTTGATGTTTAGGACCGGTTTGGGGGGTTTGGGGGGTTTGGGGGGGTGGGGGGTGAGGGGGGGGGGAGAAAAGAAAAGGAAAAAAAAAAAAACTAACCGGGTGGCCCGGTCCGGCCCGGAACCGGTGGCCACCGGTTCGGGCTCGGGCCCAACAAAACATACCTGAGGCCCGGCCGGGCCCAGGCCCGAACCGGGCCCGAACCGGGCCCGAACCGGGCCCGAACCGGCCCGAGTCCATCCCTACTCCAATATAAATTACCTGGTGAACGGGCTTATCTATTTCCTTTGGGTTTATAAAGTGTGTGATTCCAATAGCTTCACCTGCACAGAAAATACACAATACTATTTGTATGCTACTTCAAAGCAATACGGTAGTCTCTCCATATCATTTTATAAGATAGAATTTAATTTCCTTTTTAGATTTTCACAAAAATGTGAACACTTTTCTTAATTTAAAATATTCACCTTTTTTACCTTTTATGGATAAATCATACTTTTTCTTACTTTGTGGAGATTAACATAGAAAAACAGTTAGTTTTTACTTTATATTTAAAACAAAAGCAAGTGCTATCTTAGGACACAGAAAGTATTTACCTATTCAATTGTGATATTGTTGGTTTATTTTAATTAGTACTCCATAATATCCTTTCAAAAAAAATTAGTACTCCATAATATTATGTTTATTCCCCTTCTGTTTTTTACTTTTTTTTTTAGGAAGCGTCTACTTGTTCCAATTTTGTAGAAATAATCCCATAGGCCATGAAGTTGACAATAAGATAAACTTCTAGTAACCTTTCATAGGGATTCGAATAAGTGACCTTATAGAACTGTACCCTTTCTCTCTTTCAACTTTACTTAGATTTGAAGCATGACAAGATGTGATGGTACCATGAATCGCAACCATAACTCAAAAAATCATTTTAAGACAAGTCTATCAACGAGATCAACTCATTATCGGGATTAATAACTAATAGTCACTGGGTCTAACTAGGATCCCAACCCATGAAAGGAACCCACAATCAGATCGGCCTAGACAACAGACCTCGAGTTTGGGTGGAGTTCTAGCGACGAGGTCGGACTCATCCTAGGGCTTACGTGGCAGACTATCGTTTGAGCATAGCTATCTGGCAGCGGTAGGAAATAACGGAAGAAACGTGGACCTTAGGGAACAATGATTGCACAACGTTCAAGACGTTACATGACTCTTATTATAATTAATTGCATTAAATCTATCAGTTTCATTTTAAAATATTAGAACATAAGGTGTATAAATACTTCATGTAAACATCATACCAATGATCCGAATTTCAGAATAATATTACTGCGTTACGCTGCCTAAATTTCATCTGTTATCGTAGTTGGATTTAAATTCCATCAAGATGTTACTCCGTATTAATTTAGGTGTTGTTCTGTTCGTCTTATTCTTATTACTTATTGCTTATTCTTATTTTATTCAGATCAGATCAGATCAGATCAGAAAAATTCAGATCAGATCAGATCAGATCAGAAAAATTCAGATCAGATCAGATCAGATCAGAAAGATTCAGATCAGATCAGATCAGATCAGAAAGATTCAGATCAGATCAGAAAGATTCAGATCAGATCAGAAAGATTCAGATCAGATCAGACCAGATCAGAAACATTCAGATCAGATCAGAAACATTCAGATCAGATCAGATCAGAAAAGTTCAAACATGATTTATCATTTTTATTATTATATTAAATATTAATTATTATTATTAATATTGTTATTACTATTATGATTATTATTATATAATAATTATTATTATTAATATTAATAATAATATGATAAAAAAAGATATTAATATTAGTTATAATATTTTAATATAATAATAGTAATATAAATGCAATTGTTAAGAAGACTATTATTATTATTACAATATTATAATAATAATAATATGATTAATATTATTATAATATTATATTATAATTATATGTAATTATAATTATAATTACAATTATAATTCTTATAATTATAAGTATAATCAATTGTAATTATTATAATTATATCTATAATTAATTATAAATATAATTGTAATTAATTATAATTATAGTAATTATAATTATAATTACAATCATAATTATAATTATGATTATAATTATAATTATAATATAATATTATAATAATATAATACTAATTATAATAATAATCATATTATTATTATATTATTGTAATAATAATATTAATATAATAATGTCGTTATAATAATATTAATTGTATTTATATTACTATTATTAAATTATAATATTATAATTAATGTTAATATAATTATAATTATTTTTAATTATAATTATAATAATTATAATTATACTTATAATTATATTATAATTATAATTTATGATTATAATTATTATTTTTATTATAATTATTAATATTATTATTATTATTACTATTGTAATTATTTTACGGAGTAATTATAATAATATTGATAACTATAGTTACAATTATAGAGATAAATATTGTAATTATAATTACAATTATAATTATAATTTTATTTAAATTATATTTGTAATTGCAATTATAATAATTATAATTATAATTATAATTATAATCATAGAAATATTCGAATCAGAATAGATCAGAAGGATTCAGATCAGATCAGAAACATTCAGATCAGATCAGACCAGATCAGAAACATTCAGATCAGATCAGAAAGATTCAGATCAGATCAGATCAGATCAGAAAGATTCAGATCAGATCAGATCAGATCAGACAGATTCAGATCAGATCAGATCAGATCAGAAAAATTCAGATCAGATCAGATCAGAACTTAAAAAATTCAGATCAGAAACATTCAGATCAGGCGAAGAGAACAGCTTCTTAGTCTCTCCGTTTGATTGGACATTGTCAAGTTTTTAATTTAATTTGTCCCAAATTTTTTGTCATTTTATAAAGTAATAAATTTGTGATTTTCCATATTTCCTATGTCCTCTGCACAAATTTCAGCCACACATTTCAACAACACATTTGTGATAGAAGGATTACATCATTACCTTTGATGCGCTTATCAGAGTTAATGTCAACTGCGATAATCTTTGATGCTCCTCTAGCTCTTGCGCCTTCTACTACCTGCCTTTCCCATAATTCAAGATACATCAACCTCTTTAATTGAAAATTGTAATGGGGTTTGACTAACACAACATATAATTAAGAAACATATTGTGGAGTGATCCTTAGTTACGTGTGTAATGAAATTGTAGTTCAAAGTTAATGAAATTGTGTTACAAAGTAATCAATTTATTTTAGTTACACAAAGTTACGTATCTATATATGTGTATTAATTATTCCCACACAGAAACTTACTATTTGCACAATATATATAGGATTGGACTCTAATGAAAACACATTTCAGAAATGAGTTTCACATTTACTTCTTTTTTATACACATTATGATTAATCTAATACACTTTTTGTGATGAGACAAAAGTTCTGTTTAATTACCACCGCGTCTTGCATCACTTTTTTTTATTTGTGGTACTTTTCAGACCACCAGATTTTAAATTCGATGCACCAGATGAATTTTCATTTCTTATAATAAATAATCTTCTCATTTGATCCCTGTTATATATGTTACACTCTTCACTAAATTTTCTCAAATTTGAATGGACAAATATTTCAATATCAACCCATCTGTTTTTCACAGCCCCATAATTAAGACAATAGCATTAAGAAAACTAGGTACAATAAATTAGGGAAAATTACCCTAAATAGGACTAAACGAGTTTGTGTCTTCTAAAATAGGACCATCATATTTTTGTTCACCAAATATGAGTAATTATTGCTATGTTTTGGCAGTACCAGAATTTAAACACGACAATATTTTTCAAACTTGACAATAATTAGTCCTATTTAGGAAATAAAAACATGACAGTCATATTTTGAAATTCTGAAACGTTTTTACTTATATTTCAGGAATTTTACCAATCAATTACTCCATTATGCATGTTTCTCTATCTCCTGCACTGGTTATTTTTGTTAACAAACAATCAAACACTCAAACATCCTTGTGTTCTCTTTCATTTCATAATATTGTGGTTAAAGTCAAACACGAGAACCAAAAGTAGTTAAAGTCAAAGACGTGAACCAATTATGCAATTGATACGATGCTCATAGGACTAAGTGGAATGTATATGGGATTTAGTTGGAATAAGTACGTTACATTCAATTTAGTATTTGTTGTTTGTAATTGTATTCAATTTAAATAAATTCACGTTGTCACCAAATGAGGAATTTAGATTCAATGTAGATGGATTTCATAATTTAGATGGGATTTACTACTTCATGTTATTTTGGTAAATTAGATTTAGTAATTTAGTTTAATTTTAGTAATTTATATTCGATTTACCTGTTTAGATTGAATTTAGTAATTTGTTATTACGCGGATTGAGACAAAAATAAGTTCCATTAAATATCTTAGTACAGGGAAATTGTGTCTCCAAAATATTATCTCAAACAGGATAAACATGTTTATCCTTACTTTAATTTTAGTTTGTTTATGTAACACATGCGAATTTAACCTTAGTTCCTTCATGTAACGTATAATAATATAATTCTCCCAAATAGTCTTTCAAATAGCTTCTGAAGAGGGATTAGAACACAACGCAATAGGCCATAAAGATAAAATTTTGTCACCAACACAATAAGAGTCTAAGGTAGTTGGGTCTGAAGTGGGACCGTTGTGACGTACTCCTCCCATGGCAATTTTTCCTTATGCTGAAACTTCTAATTAAGTTTGAAATCCTTCAAAGAAATCTAGTTTGCAAACAATTCCTTAAATAAATTTTTATGCTAAGGTACAAAATCATATTCCTCTTAGATTGAAAATGAATCATTAACAACCATGCCCTGGATGCGTTGATCGTTCAGTACTGACCATGTCTTTGAATACGCATCATGCAGAGCATGTGTGGTAAGATGCGGCATTCGCATACACAAAATTGAAGTGCATCAATTGGTCTAAAGCTACATGCGAATAGAATGATGAGCGAGATCCGAGAGTGATCATGAAGTTACGCGAAGCACGGTTCTTGGGCGTAGAGAACATTGGCTGCATGAAGTTGGACCACACTTTAATAACAGTTTCGGTCGAGAGATGGAGGCCGGAGACTCATATTTTCCATCTTCCATTCGGTGAGGTTGGCATCAATCTACAAGATGTGACAATCATAATGGGTTTGCCCATCGACGGTATGCCCCTTAGTGGTCAAACCATACACTGACTGGGTTAATGGATCCAGATGTGCATGGTCTCGACGGGTTTCAATCTTGTAGAGAGTGTTCTATGCCCCTAGGATGTCAAATTGAGTAATGTTATATGTTACCCAGGCCTACCTCACAGTATCGAACTATATAGATGTCTAGATGTGACCCAACATGCTAGGTTCTTAATATGGCAATGTCTCGACGATCTTTTGTTCCCTAACCGGATTTGAAAGTCTTATTGCTTCCAACAACTTAGGGGCTTCATTATATGACATATATATCCCAATTGTGGAATTTACGCTCGAGAATGATAAGCGTCCATACAAAGTATTTTTTATATATCCATGATGGATTTGAAAGTTTTCATAGATGTCTTGCATTATAAGTTTGATGCTATAGTCCGGATCCGCATGTACTTTTGGAGCGATCTCACTTATTCTCACTTGCTATGATCTTGCCCGTCAGGATTCTATCACCCCGAGCTATGACGGGATCCATCCTATAGTTGTGGTAGGGTCAATATTTTTTCACTTTCCATTCCTGTGAGTTCCGACCTTCTCCTGCTTCGATATACTAAGTGCATACGTCCGGGTACAAGCACACCGCCTTCCATGACTGTGCACATTTGTCATCCGATCAGAAAAAAATGAAATCGATGAATGTTTTTTATGGACATGGCTTCTTTTAGTGCATCATATGAACTATATTTTCATGTCACTCCAATCTTTTGTGGCTCACAATATACAACCTCAATATGTTGTTCGTCTAGCTCTAATAGTTACGTAAAAAACTGGGTGAAGGAGAGAACACATATATTTAAAGTTTAATTGGAATGATGTTTTCCGAATTTTGTATTGCCAATTAAAGTTTGTCGGGGTTTGTTGGAGGTTTATGGTTGGACTGATTTATGACTTGAATTTTGGATTTTTTACAACAATATTACTAAAATAAAACTTATTTGCATAAATATGACTATTCATTACTACAACGTAGTGTTGTAGTAAGTTAAGTTCGAAACTTGAACATGAATTACTATGCTTTCATTACTACTCTAGTAACTAATCATATTTTTGTAAACCATCTTTATTTTGGTTATATTGATGTAATTATTTCTTGAATTTTTCCATCTTTTTTCCAGCCTTCAGCTAGTTGAAATCAACCTTTACGATCAATTTTTTGTTGTTGTCAAAATAGCCCATTTGGATTTGGCTATTCTGACCAAAGGATTTTGTTTTTCAAAATCGCCTAGTTGGAATTGGCTATTCCAACCAAAAGATTTTTTTCAAACTTTTTCATTTTCACAACCCTATTTCGAATGAATCGTTTCGAATGCCATATGGAATTCTAGTTTTTTTCCATGTCAGGCTCAAAACAACCATGTTTTTGTCATTTCCTCAATTTGCCCACCAAAATCCCCTCTTTTTTGCACGAGAGTTTTAAAACTCCCGTATATTTTAGATTCCTCCAAATTACTTTTAAAAATTACTCAATTCGCCTCATAATGCAATTTTTCTCGATGATAATGGAGAAAAATATGTACTTATTGCCGCTAGTAAGTTTTTTTTACTCCAAGGGATCTAGGGGAGGGGGTTGGGGGCATGGAGTAATCATTCACCTCATAATGCAATTTTTCTTGATGATAAAAGATAAATGGAATAATATGTACTTATTGCCGCTAGTAATTTTTTTTTTTTACTCAAGGAGTCAAGGGGGTCTGGGGGAGGGTGTTGGAGGGCCTGGAGTAATAGAGTTGAAACTCATTCTATTGAGTTTCGAACTCGAAACCAGTGGCGGACAGAGGGGGGTGACAAAGGGGGGCTGCTGCCCCTCCAAAAAAATATCTAGGTTTATTTACCCCGAAATTTTTAATGTATATGTATTTCTATGTATATTTTTGTACTGCCGCCCCTGCGACCGGAAATTCCTGCGTCCGCCGCTGCTCGAGACCTCTAATATGTGACATTGTGTCGGCGACCAGCTAGACTGGACCGCTTCCACCTGCCGCTAGTAAAAAAGTATGGAATAACAAATATCATTACCGCTAACCCTACTGCTCCCATGCCAAAAACCGCTACTGTTTCGCCAGCTTGAACGTCGGCTGTATTCCATACAGCTCCAACTCCTGCATGAATGCATGATCATAATCAATTTTTATTCAGCCCAAAAAGAATTAGTGCCTCTCGAAACGTGAGTAAATCAAAAGTACACAGTAAAATCCACAAGAAGAATAATACTTTGACTTAAAAGATACGTAGTACTCCGTATTAAAAAACTTCAAACTCCCTGAAGTTTAAATCATTTCCACAAAAAGCCTTTTAAAGAGAAAAACATTACACCGTACATAATTCACCCTGCCTTTTATATACGTATTATTACTTCGTATATCCATTTTAGTATTTAACACTAATTTAAATATTACAGAAGAATTAACTCTTTCTCGGTCTGGGTAACTTTTGTTGATTTGGTTTTCAAAAAAAAAACCAAATCAACAAAAGTTACCCAGACCGAGAAAGAGTTAATTCTTCTGTAATATTTAAATTAGTGTTAAATACTAAAATTCTATTAAATAGTAAAAAAATCAAGAATCTATGGAAGTTCATCCTAGTCTAAAAGATGTTGACATTTGAAACACTATAATTGAATAGTGACCACATAAAAAACTATTTCAAAATATTTCAATTTGAAACACTAATCATCATCATTACCCTAGTGCCGCAAAGGCTTCCACCTACGGCGGGGTAAGGGGGTCAGATGTACGCAGTTTTACCCTTGTACTAAAGCACAAAGAGACTGTTTCTGAATGACCCATAGTGAAAAACGCGTCGAAAATTGCATAGACTGACTGTTACTTCATAACAAAGAAGTGCAGACAGTTTAGTGAGTCATTTTGCTTTATTCCATCATATCCCCGAACCAAAAAAGTGAGTTTTTGGCTCCATTGAAAATGATGGAAAGAAATTTGAAACACTAATATAGAGAACAAATTTAAAGAAATTGATTAACATGTGATTAAAACATAGACAAAGTCACAAACATAACTACTTACTAATTTGTTTGTTTTTATTTATTTAGCCAATTTTGACATTTTCAGTCAAATATGATACATTTTGATCCATTATTATAACCAATATATTTATTTGAAATTGAATAAATTTATAATTTTATGATAGTATTTTTAACTAAGTTCATATTATTTTCATATTACCACTACTATCGTGTATAAGTATATAATTGATCAAAGTTTGACATCTTTGACTCTAAAAGTCATATTTGGCTAATTTAAAAAGGACACGTGGTGTATGTTTTATTCTCAAAATAGAATTTATATACTCTTAATTGAAGAATAAACACATTTAAAATCTTCTTTTAGAGGTGAATGGGTTCTATTTAGAAAAGAGAAAAAGACATGAATAAGACTAAAACTTGTAGAGGGAAGCTAAATAGGACCTAGAACTTTCTAACTCACGTCTAGGACTAATTTTTTAAAAAAGGACAAAAACACCCTTATCCGTATATATGCTTTCTGCGAGACAAAGTGTCCTGGCAATTCAACGACGGAACTTCAACGTCACCGGCAACGACCATAGCCTTTGGCGACCTGGTCTATAAACTGAATAATCTCTCTCAATGGTCGGAGGTACTTGCTGCATTCATTGCCATTGGTTATCGCCGGAGTGATCGCCGACACGAGTGATGTAGCCGCCGGCGAGTTTTCTTATTTTTCTTATCCGCTGGAATATTGAGAAGATGGCGTCGATTGACACCGATTTGCACGGAGAAGACATTCGTGATATGTGCGATGTTTTTCTCTTTTGGTGGAACCCTTTTCTTTGTTTTGCACAACGCCAAAATTAGATTAGTAAGCCTTGATTTGAATTGTGAACCTTTATTGATTTCTTAATTTCAGCTATTTGAATTTAGCAGCTGATAACAATCTGTGTCATTAACAGGTTTTTGAATTTGAATTGAAAATTAAATTTAAATTCTTCAATAATTCAATTAATGCATTTAAACTTTCAATATACTATATATCCCAAAGAGTAATACTCTTTAGTGTTTACGGTGCACTCCAAAATCTTCAATTTTGTTCAAATGGGGTTAGTCTGGTATTCTATTTTGTTTTTATTTCACGCAATGATATTAATTGTCCAACAATGACACCATTACATTGTCATCATATAATGTCATTGTGTATTACATTGTCGTATAACGATTTTGTACAACATCGTCAAAATGTGTTCTTCTATAAAAACAATTTCATTTTTATGTTATTGTCATCATTTTTAACAATGGTTGTTTTTATAACATTGACATTGTTACGCCAGGCATTGACTTTGATATTGACATTGTCTATGATACAATGTCATTTTTATAGCATTGGAATTGTCATTGTCATTTTTACAATGTCATTTTTGTAACATTGACATTTTCATTATTTGGCATTGTGATAATTTTCTGACATTTTGACAGATTCCGACATTGTAAATTTTTACAATGATATGACATTGTCACATATTTCAATGTCATCATAAAAAAACAATGTTACTTCTCAACAATGTATCGATGTCCTTTTTAAAGCATTGAAATGACATTGTCATTATTATAATGTCATTTTTTAAATCATTCACATTGTCATTTTTACAATGTCATTTTTTCAAAGCGTCGGTGTTGACATTGTCGTGGTCATTATTTGACATTGTTTCATTTTTTCTAGTATTATACTATGTATGTACTATGTAATACATTATCAACAATGTTTTTTTTACAAAAGCAGTATTTGTTTTCATAGTATTGCCATTTTTGAAAAATGGTACTCTGTATTTCTTATAGCATGGATTTTGTCAATTCAATGAAGCCATATCGTAGTAGAACTTGCCTCAACCTCCTAATAACAAAAATGGATACATTAAAACGGAACTTAATTCACCAAATCAAGGTAAATGAGCTTGTTCAATTTGTGCCGATATAAAAACTAAATAGAAAGGCTAAGACCGTTATTTGTAACTAAATAATTCCATAGTAACTATTTAAGAAGCAAAACAAAATGAATCGCAGTCAAACAAAATGAAGAAGATCACGCAAGAAAAGAAGACAGAAAAAGAACGGCCAAAATTTTCACCTATTTGGGTACATCAAGTTTATTTAGCTCCTATTTAGGTACATCAAGTTTATTTAGCTCGTATTTGGCACCATTTTTCTTTAGAAAAACAATAATGGTTCTATTTGAGAAAATGTATTACTATCTCCGTTTCAAAAATCAATGACGCACTTTGACTTTACAAAGATTAAAGAAATAATTTTACTAAGGGATAAATTTTATTGTAGAGTACACTATTTTGACACTGTTTTGTACTGTACTACTCAATATAGATTTGTTTACCGAAATTGAGTGACTCTCAAATACCAGGTATATGATTACATTCAATTTGAGGTTCAAATTCGGAATGAGTCAATATTAATAGTTTATGATAGATATCTTTTTTATATTTACTTGACTTGTCTTCGTCACCATTGTGAATGCATTTATAGTCCCTTTATGCAGTTATGCAGAAGCTTTCTCCATCTGACTTTCAAACACGTTTGGAATTGAATTGAATGAATTGAATGCTACTCCGGGAATTATGAATTGTTTATTGGCTTTATTCTCCCAAGTCTTATCTTATTTCAAGAACACGGATTAAAACCGTTTTCTATTTCAAGAAATGGACAGTAGGTCCAGCGTACGTAATATGTTAAGGGGTTTAAACAATTAAAGTTACAATATTAATTACAGAAAATCTCAAAATATATAGGAATTAACGTGGGTTGAAGTCTCACATCGTTAAATTAATACAGTAAGTAATAGAGAAATGGTCTTGAATAGGAGTAAAATCTCAGCCGTGTACTTAAATAGGACTTCGTCTTTTAATATACCTAAATAGGGCTGGCTTGACTTATTTACCCTTTCTCATTAATCCGCTCCAATTTTACAACAACGACTCTCTCTCCTTTGGCATCAATCTTCGGTTTGCTCTTCGACAACGAAACAGAGGAGCTGCTCGACCCTGGCGAAACAACACAGATGGCGGCGGCGATAGCTGATGATGAGATGAAGCGTGACGGATCGGAGAAGACAAGGTGCAGCGGCGGCGCTTCCAGGCTCTTCTTTTTCTCTTCCTCCGGTCCTCCCCTCCTCTCTTTTCTTCATCTCCTTTTCTTGTCTTTTGTTCTTCGTCATTTACTTTCCGATCTGTTTCTTCCTTTGATTGATGCTCGAATTCTGAGGCTCCTCCGGAATTTCTGATCTCAATTTCTTACTAGAATTTCTGAGGCTCCTCCTGAAGATACTGGTAACAGCTTCTTGGTGGATCTTGGCTTCGCACCGCCGCATAGTGTTTAGATTAGATCACAAGGAAGACATAAAACTGATGTGGATTGTGGAAGATTTGGTCATAACCGGCAATTTCAAGAAATTGGAGAATTATGTGACATTGCAATTTTATGATCCAATGGAATCCTATAGCGAATTTCTTTCTGATCTGTTCCTTACCTATGTTAGTCTACTATTTGCTTTTACTTGTTTTTAGTCTCTTACTACGTATTTTTTGTAATTTTATTTTTTCAGTTGTAAATTTTTCATTATTTTGGGTTGTTGAATTTTTCTAGCAATTTTAAAACTGCTAAAGTATAGAATTCCATTATGTTAGTTTTCAAAGGATGATATCATATTACATTAAGAGTAGTGTATTTTATGACATTGACATTACATTTTAATATAATGAGATTTTTATGTAATTGTTTATATTACACTGTCATTTAATGACATTGATGTTTGAACAATGACATAAAATTACATTGTCATATAATGACATTGATTTTTGAACAATGAATTTAAATATAAAAAGTGACATTATATTATATTATCAGACAATATCATTGGGTTTTAAACAATGACATTAATTGTTGAACATTGACACTAAATTACATTAGTTTTTTACATTATAATGACATTATAATGGCATGTATAATGACATTGATCTTTAAACAATGACATTATATTATATTCTTATTCAATGACATTGATTGAAAACCATGACATTTTATTACATTGTCATATAATCTATGACATTGACTTTTAAACATGCAATGACATCATATTTCGTATTACACTGTCATACAATGACATTATATTACATTGTCATTCAATGACATTGACATTCTATTACATTGTCATATAATATACTCCCTCCGTCCCAGGGAGAAGTTCCCACTTTCCTTTTTTGGTAGTCCCAACAAAAAGTTCTCATTTCCCTAAATAGAAAGTTATCCTACATCAAAACAGTGTCAAACAGTGCAAAACAGTGCCAAACAGTGTCGAAACAGTGCCAAACAGTGTCGAAACAGTGCCAAACAGTAAAATTTACCCCTCAGTAACTTTATTTCCTAAATATGTGTGAAAGTCAACCCGGGAACTTCTCCCTGGGACGGAGGGAGTATGACATTGACATTTAAACACTGCCATTACACTGTCATATAATGACATTTTATTACACTGTCATATAATGACATTGCCAACACATCTAATCAAAATGACATTACATTTTACAGTGTGTCATTGTTTGATGATATTATTTTTGTACATTGATATTTTTTATACTCTGTAACAATTACATTTTCTATTGCCATTGACTCTATTATCAATGAGAAAGTTTTCCAAAATAAATAATAGAATAATTTTCATAAAGTTAATTTCAATCTGTAAAATAAAATTTAAAAAAGAAAAAAGAAAAGGTAAAAGCAATAAATAAGAAGTTGATTTTTTTAATAATAAAGTGAATTCCATAAAAAAAAACTAAGAACTTGAAAAGTAAAACAAACACCAAAAAGCTCATAAAGAGCTTAATAACTTATACACATAACATACCAAAACAACAACTAATAAAAAATCTAACGAAGCCTTTAAGGTTTCCAAATAAACACTATACGCGGCAGTAAGATTTTCGCATTGTGTTTAGAAATAAACACTATAAGCCTTTAAGGTTTCCAAATCTAACGAAGCCTTTTATTCAAGTCATTTGACAATTCTTAAATTTTTTATGACTTTGTATTTAGAATATTGACATTTACATAACATTGACATTTTTTATTGTATTACGGAGTAGGTGATGTTTCTTAGTTGCATTGGATTATTTTAATATTATTTTTAAATTCATGCTTACAATTAATATTATTAAATGACATTGTCAGATTTTTTACAATGGCAAGATATTGTCATTTTTTATTTTCTATTTTTCTGTTTTATTTTTAGCAATGACGTGAGTTCTCATACAATGAAATTGTATTACATTATCATATACCGACATTGTATTACATTGTCAAATAATTACATCATCAAATGTTTGACATTGTAACTCTTTTTTACGTTGTGATATTGTTCGACATTGTCATGATAATATTGACAATTTCATCATTACAATGTCACTATTATAGTGGTGACATTGACATTGTCATTATTTGACATTGTAACATTTTCCTGACACTAACATTTTCCTGGCTTTGTGCAATTTTTCCGACATTGTGACATTTTTTAACAATGACATTATATTATATTATCCTGTCATTGTAATATTTAATACTATGGATATAATAAATTTGGACAATGTAATTCAATGTTTTTGTCCAAAATAATACAATAAAATCCAGCAAAATAAAAACAATGCTATGAACAGTAAATCACTAATAATGAGACAATGTTTATTATTTTATTATTAAATAATCTGGATGAAATTGCAAAATAAAACATAAAACAATAAAGTTAAAGTAATAAATAAGAAAATGAAAAGTAAAACAACAAAAAACGTAGATTAGCAGAGACGTAAATGTCAAAACAACCAACAAAAAAGGTAAAATTGATAAGATAAAAGTGGAAAGCAAAAATGGGAGTCACTAATAGATCTAAGAATTGGCAGCTCCGTTAATCCAAGGGAAGCCGCAGGAGTACTCCGGTCTCCAGCCGCGAAGATAAAAAGCTGCAGAAAAAGGAGGATTTTGGGTGCGAGAATAGAGACTACCTGGTCTCTGTCAATTCTAAGGGAGGCCATGAAAGACACGAGGGGAGACTATGGAGGTGGGTGGCTAACCAGGTGTAGAACGCCTCGTCGTAGACAAGCGAGGGGGTGTTGCTGCCGACTGTTCAATGTTGAATTCCGGAGTAGTTTATTGCAGCAAGAGTTCTCCGTAGAAACATTTGAGGGGTGAGGTTATTTTCGTCCGTTCAATTAAAATTGGTCCTATTTGAGGTTTAAAAAGTCGTCGGTCCTATTTAGCTTCGCCGCTTATGTTTTACTCTCATTCAAGTCTTTTTCCCTAAGTAATAAAGTTTTACTTCAATATATTGATATCAAGTATCTAACCAAATACAGTAGATCTTCCTATTAAGTTGTCATAGTATCAAAGTCAAAATTATCCATAATTGCAGTATTGTCCATATGAATAATGACGACATGATTATGAAAAAAGACAATGACGGAAAAATGAAAAAGTTATTAATGTTACAATCCAGACGAAATATCTGGTCGTGAGAAGGTATATTGAAGTCTCACACAGGTAAATTAAGAAGTAAAGGTACTCCTATCCGATTGACATTTTAGGATGGAACATGAAGTCTTAAAATATGGGGGTGTTTGGATCTGATTCTTAAAACTGCTTCCACTCCTTCAGAGAGCAGAAGCAGCAGCTGGAGTGTTTGAGTGAAAGTGCAGAAGTGATTCTGGTGTTTTAATTTACTCCTAAAATCAGTTTTAAGAAGTTGAGGGTGATCAGCTTCTGGAAAACTGATTCTGATTTTGCTTATGCTTTAAAAAAGAAGCAGAATCACTTCCAAACACCCCTATAATACCCAATAACCCTTAGTTTTCCTTCATTTTCAATTTCTCTTACATAGTTTTTGCTACTTCTTATACTTTCTTTACACTGTTCACTGCCATATCATAAATAGTGTCTCATCTAAAATATCTAATCCACAACCCCAAAAAGTGGAAATAATTTTAAAATGTGTTTAGGTGATCGAAACTAATAAGGGTCCAACGTAACTTATTCTAGCTCTCCTTCCCATTTCAAAGTTTCTTCTTGTAACTATTATTAATTCTAAATGTATGTCAAAAGTTAGTGAAATAATGACGGATGTATGACTAGCTAGAATAAAAGTTGCAGACATAAATGTGACTAGGAGAGTATGTTCGGTGTAATTTTAGTCACATTTTTATTCATAATCAGGGCCGTAGATGAGGGCGTGCAAGAAGTGCTACCGCACAAGGCCTCTCGATTTCAGAAGACCCAAAATTTTAAATATAATCTATATTTCGTATAATATAATAAATCTTTATTTATTTGATTAAAAATTCATATCTTAGTACTTCTTTAAATACAATCATTAAATAGTAATATTATATGTAATTAAAATGCAATTGTTAATTACAATTGTGTAATTTCTTTATTTCACAAGACCTAGTTATAGTAATTAGCACCAAGCCCTCATTCTTTGGAACGAGCTTGTAACTACTTTTTGTATCATACTTTGCCATTAGTTTACTTTTCTTAATATATTCTTTTTTCTGCTTTTCATTTACCTTACACCTCTATACTACACCTATTATTTTCTTCTTAAAACCTACAAAAAATCTAAAGAGACTATTATTTAAAACCGGTGAAAATATTAATATAGTGTTTTATACATGAGGCCTCATATTCAATTTTGCACGGGGCCTTCTACATGTCAGGGCCGGCCCTGTTCATAATATATCCTATTTTAATAATATGCAAGGAAAAAATGTTTGAAGTTTACCTGAAGAGACACCGCAGCTGAGCAAAGTCATGTTTTTGAGGGGAGCGATGGGGTCAATCTTGGCAACGCAAGCAGAATTGATGACAGTGTATTGAGAAAAGGTTGAGGTGTTGAGGAAATGGTAGATTGGTTTGCCATCTTTGGTGGAGAACCTGCATTTCCCGTCTCCGACCATCACGCTTCGGCCGGGATCCACCCTGAATTTCTCGCAGAGGTTGGTTTTGGTGGATTCACAGTACTTACAGCTGCCGCATTCGCCGTTGAACACCGCCACCACCTTGTCTCCGGCTTTCAAGTCCCTCACACCTTCTCCCACGCTCTCTACCACACTGCATATGTAGTAGAATGATTATCATGAAGTGATTTCTTCATTTGTTCGATTTAAATGTAAACTTTGACAATTACATCAAGGTAAAAGTTAAATTTTACCAATGCCAAATTTATTTTTAAGGGTGAAATTAATTGATATTGATATTGCATTTGATCTTTTGAACTACATAAGGGAGTGATTTTTTTTAGGGAGTGTTTGCAATTACTTCAACTTTAAAAAAGTGATTTTTTAAAGTAATTTTGGGAAAAGTGATTAATAGTAAAAGTTGGTAGTGTTTGAGAAAAAAGTGATTCTGAAAAAGTAAAAGTTGGTGGTGTTTGGTAAAATAAGTACTTTTTGTGTAATAGAAAAAGTGAGAAGCAGTTTAAAGCACCTTTCTACCTGCTTTCAGCTTTTAGCTTTTAAGTGATTAATTTAAGCAGAAGTTGTCATTTGAAAACACTCTTTTCAGCTTTTTTTAAGCCAAAAGCTAAAAAGTGCTTTTTTTAAGCAATCCCAAACACTCCTTAAATTTGGGGTCTTAGTGTTAATTGAGTACACTTGTTAGATTCACACGTTAATACAACTGAGTTGGCTAACGAAATGTTGAGTAAGAATGGGTAGTGGACCAAGGTTATGGTGCCGACCTTCACGAAGTCGGCCAAAAAGGGAAAATCGACCTTCGGAGGTCGACCTGCAGGAGGCGTCGGCCAACAGGGGTGCATTGACCAAGGAGAAGTCGACCTGCGGGAGATTGACGACGACCAAGGGGAAGTCGATCAAGTGGCTGGGGGATGGTGTCGACCTTCAAGAAATCAACTTATTAGCATTCTGTTAGCCAACCCTAACGGGTGTACTCAATTAACACTAAAAACCCAAATTTGAGTACTTAAAAACATCAAATGCAATATAATGTACTCTTTACTCCACTTCATACAAGTTGATGTACTCAATTGACTCTTACCTCGTTTTAAATGTGGGAAATTAAGTTTATGCTATGTATAAATACAGAGTACACAGATTTTGCTTCACGTGAGAAATTCATAATAATGAACCTCATTTGTTAGTTTGGATTTGTTAGACTAAACATGACAAAATTGTATGGCACTTAGATTTGTATTTGATGATATTGCAGTATTGCACTAAAACATATTCATTTTTCACTAGAAATTTGAAGATGTTTTTCTAAAATAGTTTCATATTGCACCGGAGATATGCAATATTAAGAAAATACCATCATCCAATGTTCTATCTTTGGTGCACTATGAAGTATGAACTTATGAAGGAAGTACTTTATTGCAACGTAATCGAATCTAAAGTACGACTAAGATTTATTTCCATTTCTATATCAATAATAGTGACTCATTTCTTAGATGCGTAATTAACAATATGAACCTACCCGGACGCTTCATGTCCCAGGATACGCGGGAAAACATTGCGAGCTTCATTCTGCACACATGCAAATTAAAACTCAGATTATATGATATACGGAGTACTATCTATCATATTTATGTTTTTTAAATCCCGGGAAACCCCACGCTCGGTGGGGGTAGGTGCCGGGAAAACTTCTCAATTTTATTAAGAACGATGTTTATGTATGTATGTAAGTAAAATAAAAGAGAACTATAATTATTATACACATAAAAGAAGTTAGATGTGTGTTTGGTAAGGATGCAATTAGGAAGATCATGCCCGCTGTGCGTGCGGACGTGAAGGCACCAAATTTTTTTTTTACGAAGTACGAAACACAAGATTTCTTCTATTATAGACTATTCCATTTTTAAGTAAGTTGAATTTTACAATGTTTACACGTTCTGTTCCGATTAAGTTTTTTTATTTAATATGTTATTTTTTTAAAATATGGTTAAATTGGTCTCACAATAAATTTTAAAGTTGTTAATGGTCAAAGTTGGTGATCAACTGATCATCAAACCCTTTTTGGACTTAAATGAATCTAATTAATGGTCTATTTTTTGGTTCACCTAAAATATGTTTACACGGATGTTTGTTTTCTAGCGTTTTCCACTTAAAACGCTGGTAGTACTCAACGTTTTCCCTTGTTAAAAATTGGTGTTTCCATCCAACATGCCGAGAACAAAAATAGAGTTTATACTCATTTTTTCACCACCATATTTTTTTTGTAGATGAATTCATCACAAAAATAGAGATATTCATGGACCATGGTAATGTTACTTCCTTAAATTGGTCTCTCCTAAATTTTTACATTTTCACGTTATCCCTTTATCTATCATTTCACTTTTCATTTTTGATGGAACTGTTTTTTCTCTTTGTTTCATTCCAGGTTAGAATTGTGAATAATTTAAGAGCAACATAGAGTACAATTTTATTTTTATTTTCTTAAAATTCACACCAACCTCACGTACATCTTAAAATTATGGGACGGAGATAACAATATTTCTAATGATCTAATGTTAAAACTAAAAATTACGGAGTAAATAGTACGTAGTACGGAGTAATATAGTACCTCCCCTTTCAAGGCACTGAGATCTGTATGGCAGATAGAAGTGTAAAGGATCTTGACTCGGACCTCCGATTTCTGAGGCGGCGCCACCAGTACGTCCTCCACAACTAGCGCCTGCCCGGGACCATAAGCCACCGCAGCTGCAGTTCCTTGCCGGAGGAGTCAGATAAATAAATTTAAAAAGGGCCACAAATAAAATAATATATATGCAAGTATATAACTATATACAAATACTTCGTAAGGTGTATAATAAATTTAAAGTCACATAAGAAGAAACATATTCGCCCGCCCGGCCGGTTTAATTATAACGAGCTTCGAAGCAAGGCACGTGCAGTGGAGGCATGCATTAAATATTGAAATATTAACCGGCGGGCATGGGTAGGTCAGTTGGTTCAGTGGTGGGAAATTGGAGAATCACTAAGGTTCGAAAATCACAGCAATCGTGTAGAGCTCACAGAACCTGAAATAAAGTTGGGCGTCATTGGACCGACTGAGTCACCATGACTAACCTCGATCTTCATCATCCTGTCGGGTCGGGGTGGGGGCTCCTAGGAGATTCTACCTTTTGGAGAATAAATATTGAAATATTAAGAAGTTGTGATTCATTAATGGTGGTTACCGACAACCTTTGCAAGTTATGACCTTGCCTGCAGTGTCCTCTGTATTGGAGGAGCAGCCATTAATGGCGGAATTGAAGATAGTTTCAGAACCCATCTCTGCCATTGTATGTGCGTAGAAGAGTGTGAAGATATATTGCAGGGCGACAAAAGCTTATTTATAGCGGTGGAAATGGGGCCTTGCCGGTCACACATAAACGGCATCGATCAGTGGTTTCCACAACGTCAACGAGTCAAGTCCATCCTGTGTGGGCCCTTCCTCATTAAGTTGCGGCTTTTATTAGTTTTGATATAAATGGAAAGAGAGGGGGGCCAAATTTTGGTAAATTTACATACTTACCCTACATTTTATTAGGTATGCCAAACACCCTTTATCTAATCCTCGTTTATACAACTCCGTACTTTCCACTTGTGTCACAAGGTGAGACCCGAGGAGCGTATATTAACGTACTTTCCACTCCGTACACTTTGTACATTTGTTGAAAATCATGGTTTTTTAGATGAGCATTAATGCACTTTTGATGAGAATCAAATATGTTCTTTGAGTATTATGAGCCTAGTGATGAGTATCAATGATCTCTGCTTCATACTCCTTCCATCCCCCTAATTTTGTCCCGTTTTACTTTTTTCGTTCGTCCCATTATGTTTGTCTCATATCATATTTGATAATATTTGAGTGGTTACAATTCATTTTTACTTTATTTACACCTTATCAATTTAATATCAACCACATAATTCCACTTTTCTTAAAACTTGTGTCACACCCCTTTGTCCCCAACATAGTGGGACGGAGGTAGTATCTTCTAACTAAGTTTCTTTGATTTTTTTCGTTTATAAAAAAATCTTAAATTATGTTTATAATCAATTTCAAGTAATTTCAATATGTGAATCTAAGGTAGTATGATACGTTTGAAATTTGCAACATTTTAAAATGAGCATAAAGTAATACCAAATGAGAATACATAACTTACAAAATGAGTATAAAAAAAATGAAAAAGTTCATTTGTGTATGCTCATTCATTTTGGACGTCATACTCATTTGAGTTTACCATAAAACTCATTTCCAATGTGCTCAATATTCATTTGTGTGTATTCATTTCTTTTAGACATATATTCATTTGAGTTTAATATAAAACTCATTTGAGATAAATAGTAGCAAGGATTCCTCAGTAACGAAGTAGACTCCCCCTATCTTCGAAAATCACAAACTCAAACAGCAAAATTGTGTGAGAAAAAGAAAAAGAAGGGAAAGAAAGACGGATGGATAGATAACTACGTCAGAGCCGCTGCATTTGTGCCAGAGGAGAAGAGACGAGTGATGAGAGGCGGTGATGAGCAGGGAGCTGAAGCGGGGGGGGGGGGTGAACGTTCACGACAGTGAGCCTGGTGCAAAGTCAGATCGAAGAAGCATGCGATATTGGAGAAGACTGGTGCGTAACCAGATCGTATAAACCTTGTGCAAAGGCCGGGTTGAAGAAGCGCAGCAACCCAGAAAAGCGCAGTTGTACCGTGTGCACGGTACAACCGGCTGTAGGATATATTTTACCAGAGCCCGTTTTCTAATTCTAGCTTTCGACCTATCACACATAAAAGTCAACTTTTCATCAAACACATCATGTTTTATTTCGCGCGCTGAATTGTGTAATAATTAGAAAAGGTGAGATTGCAGATACTTTTCTGACTGTATTGGTAGAAGTTATTGTACAAGACCATTTTAGCTATTTTTATATATAATTTTTTCTTTATTTTATTAACTAAATATATTCATAAATTTCAGTAGAATCAACCAATTCAGCCTGAATTTCATAAATTTAAACAGAATTAGCTGATTCGGCCGATTTTGGTATTACCAAACGGGCTCTCAATCTCCACTTCAAGAGTCTCACACTCTTACCCCAGTAGAACATATGAAGAGATGCTATCTATGTCCCGTTTTATGTGTCTTACTTTGAATTGGTTTGACACATTTATTAATAAAGTGGTTGAAAAAATAAAAGTCGTTGTTGCGATTTGAGTATAATAAAACGAAATGCTATAAATCACTTATTTCTTTTCCAAAAAATGTGACACTTACTTTGGGACAACCCGGGAAAAAAAAGTAAGACATGTAAAATGAGACGGAAGGAATATTAGCTACACACAACGATTTCCATCACTTTGAAAGTTTTATACTCTTATGAAAATAATTTGACAGGGAATATTTTTTTATGTAATTTTCATATTCTAAATAATTTCGTACTAAAATGTATCATTGATCAAAGTTGATTGTCGTTAACTAAGAAAAGTCAATTTAATGAATATTTTACTTCCGAGGGTGGACTTAATTATCTACATATCTACTTAACAAAACGTCACTAAAATTATTGTAAAAAAATCTTTTACCGAAATTTGTTTTAGAAAAAACATTTTTTTAAGGTTTTGCAACTTCCAAGTAATTTCACAACAGAAAATCTGACAATAAAAGAAATTATTTTGACAGTTGGATTTCAATTTGAACCATTAAATCCTACTCCCTCCATTCCATTGAACTTTACCAACTTTTCTTTTTTTATTGTCCCAAAAAACTTTATTACTTCCCATTAGAGTAACTTTTTTGTGGTTCTTCTCATTTCTCTCTCATTTGCACAAACTTCTACCACACAATTTTTACTATTATTATTTTTTTACCTGATTCAAAGAGTGCAAACTACATTTGGGACGAATATAGTAGGAATAATTGTTTTGCCATAAAGGTTGGGCCTCGCGGCCAACTTTTTGTTGTCTTGGTTAGAAAGCCTTCCTACTTTTCTTACATTGCTGCGGACTCCATGGGCTTGGATTTCCACTCTACCATCTCACTTTTTTACTCACTGACCCAAATAATATCCCCCAATATATGTCTAGATTAAAGTAACATTTTTGGCTTCATTCTCCTTTTGAGAAAATATATGGGGCGTGCTAGCATATTCACTAAAAGCTTAGCTATTTATCACGCCATCATGTTCTTTAGTGAGCATGCAACATATTTTCTCTTGACAGTCAGGCTACAAATGATTAAGTAATTAAATGAACGTTTGAGTCAATGTCATAAGCTAATTTTTCAGTTGATGAACTTAACTTTTATATCAAACACCGAACTTTTGATTTAGTAAGTTGATTTTTTTAATAATCAAATAAATATGATTAAAATTCTTTTATGGTTGAATTTTCTTAACAGAGATAATTTAGTGTTCATCATGTAATTTATTTTCTATTTTATTAGTAAATTACATGTTAAGTGCAATTTTTTCATAATTCGATAGATTCAATTGTTACGGTGTATAAACAAAAAATTTATCGATTTCATGAGATTCAATCAATTCGGCCGATTGAAATTTTACCATACCAACCCTTTGTGTGTGGTATTTTAGTATCAAACTATAAGTACCATTTGTGTGTGGTATATCAGTATCAAACTATAAGTATATTATGATTGTCTAATGGTATCTAACGGCACGTTTTGTTGGAACAACCTGTGCTACATATGTACACAGGCAATAGGCGTGTATATACAAAATGTGTACAAATTTTGTGCACGAGTAACTCTTTTCTGGTTGGAATATACCATAGTTGGTTGAATTACATCCCAATTCAAACTCCAAAGGAATTGCGGATTAAACACTCCCAATTCATACTCGGTCCTTACGCATCAGCCAACTTACAACTCAACCGATTGGGCCATTTATCATATGTGATGACAAAACTTTGGGAGGCAGATTCGCCCATGGGCTTAGCTTTCACACTAATTAATCATATATACTGTTAAGAATTCGTGAAAAATACAAATATTACACTGACAGTTGCTTTTCTCTACCAAAATTAATTTGTGTGAAAGAAACGTTGGCGTACAATTCATCAAATGAGGATCAATTAAGAATGATAATAACAACAATAATAGCCTTCATGGAGTCGTGGAGAACCTACCATAAGCCACATGCACGAGAAACCAGCCATCCATATTTAAGAACCACATACGTGCGTGCTTATATCATGGTTTCTACGGTGGATGTCTAAGTGTGAAATCATTAAGTGTGTAACACTTAAACAATGAAAAGTTGCACCTTTTTTTTTGAACGAAAATGGCTTATATAATCATAACAGGACGAAAGCGGGTTACAAAGAGACAACCAGTGTTCTATCTGCCGTCCGCCCTACAATAATCAGACTTAGAATTAATCACCTCCATAGAAGCAATATAATTCGCTAATCCCGCTTTGGGCTTAACTGAACCAATGACTTGCAGACTAGAGTCATCGTCCCCAATCCTAAATTCTATAGTTCTTTTGCCGGAAAAACACAGCACAACCAAACATAATACAGATCCAAATGAAAACGAAACATCAAGAAAACAAAACAAGCAAAATAAAATTCTTGAAACCTATCACCTCGTTTAACCCTTGGCGGTGGTTCAGGAGGAGGCCGGACCATTGCTATGATTGTTGACGCACCAAAGCGGTTTTCCTCCGGCTCAATCTCCTCTTCGTCATCAATCCCGGAATCATCCGAATCTGCACCAAACCCCGGCCCATGCTGCCGTACTTCACTGCCAGGCTGTCCACTAGCCCTTCCTCCTCACTAATCCGCCGCACCGAAGTCGGCAGAAAAATCCAAACCCTAATCAAGGGAGAAACCGCCTTTTTCTTGCTTGTTTGATGGTCGATTTATTTTCTTTAAGCATTTTGAAAAGTTGCAGCTTTTAATAAGAGTAAAAGATAGTGAAAGCAATTAACCTAGGCTCCTTTTATTCGTATTAGGGGTGTTTGGAATTGATTCTCAAAACTGATTCTGCTCCTCCAGGGAGCAGAAGTAGAAGTTGAAGTGTTTGGGTGAAATTCCAGAAACACTTCTGGTACTCTAATTTACTACCAGAATCAATTTTTTTAGAAACTGGGGGGCTACCAGCTTCTGAAAACTGATTCTGATTCTGCTTCTGCTTTTAAAAAAGAAGCAGAAGCAGAATCAGTTCCAAACACCCCCTTAGTCAATTGATCCATCCATTGCAAGGATGATGAAAGAAATTAGCGGCTGAAATGGTAACTCTTGTGCTCAGCTAGTCAATTTTATATGTCACTACTTTGTAAAAATATAACATTTGATATCGCGTTCAATAATGTAATAATAAAAATAAGTACTAAGATTTATGTTACTCCTCTAATTGATTTGATTGGATTTACGATGGATGACTAGTTTTACTATATTCTC